TTTGATCTAGTCATTTTCAAGAAAATGTGAATTTCCTTGTTTGTCAAGAGGAGTGTCCTTAGTTTGCAAAAATCTGCCAGGATTAGGGTTCTTTGGAACTAGTTTCCCCACCCAGTTCATTTGATCACTATATAATCAGAACCAGAGGGGTCCAGTTCACACAGCTGGAACCCATCTCCAGGAACAAAGAGCTGGAAACCATCTTCAGTTGGAGGGACTCTTCCAGATTTTTGTAAGATTCTTACCCCTGGGTAATCTATCGCTGTATTTTTTAAATATATACATACTATTTTTAGCCATTTAGCTATTTCAATGAAAAAATTTTCCCCCCTGTAAAGCCTATGGGCCCAACTTATGAACTAAGAAAAAAATGAACCAGATTCTAAAGTTTAAAATGAAAGCAGATTTCTTTCGATATTGTGTTTCTAAGAGTGTGTGTGTGTGTGTTTGTGTTTGTGTGTGTGTGTGTGTGTGTGTGTGTGTGTGTGTGTGTAAAGGGAGATTACTGAGACTGGGAGCAAGTGGAGATTTAGGAGGAATTCCCGAATTGTGATAAAATCCCCAAAGTCCTGGGAAAGCCATTAGCTGAAGGGCATCTGGATACCCCCAGGGAACAGGCATTAAATGTGGCAGAGCAAGAAGAGAAACAAAAAGAATGCTTTTAGCTTCATTTTCTTCTAATCGCTACTGTTTTTTTTACTTAAAAAAAGTTTTGATTGCTATTTAAGAGCCAAGTGAAAAACATCCAAGAAGGTACACTGGCAGGTTGAAGGGAAGAAAGAAGGAAAAGAGATAAAGGGAAGAATATGCCTTGAGAGTTATGCTTCACTTTGTGGGGTATTGTGTGAAGCTACATGTATGGAAATTAAAACCATAGTTACTTATCATAGAGTGTAAGTTAATTCCCTGGTGTGTAAAGTTAGATGAACCTCTTTAATACAAAACATTGCCTGTGGAGAGAGGAAGAGAATATGAACTCTTGTGAAGATTAAAGGATTGGTTTGAGACAGATGATAAAGTTAGTCTGAAGAACAATGAGGACATATTTCATTGACAAAAAGCTGACTGACACTTATGTGCTTGACTATGGAAGGTTATGTGTGAGTTTGATGACCAGATGTGAGGCTCTAAACCCTTGGCCTAGGCATATTCACTTCAGCACCACAAATAATCTGTCTCATACTTGTTTTCTCCCAAATTCATTTTACCTCTTTTGGGGAAATTTAGGATTGAATATATGAGTGAGCAAGTTGTGAGTTGGGGAGTAGATATTAGATACTCGTGGCCATGCTATGTACCATCTGGGCTTTGGTTTCTGGATGTCTTAGGGATTCAAGATTATGATAAGACTGAAAAAAATTTAGCTAAGTTCTTACAGAATTATTGTGCAAATATTGTAGGTTAAAAGCAAAGATTTTCTTTTACCTCTCCAGACAGGGATGTGAGGCCTTCAACCTCCAACCAGCAAGTGGCTTTGTAGCATATGAAGTCCCTGTGTGGCATCAGTCTAGGGCAGTGATTCTCAACCTTCTGGCCCTTTAAATACAGTTCCTCATGTTGTGACCCAACCATAAAATTATTTTCGTTGCTACTTCATATCTGTAATGTTGCTACTGTTATGAATCATAATGTAAATATCTGATATGCAGGATGGTCTTAGGCGACCCCTGTGAAAGGGTCGTTCGACGGCCAAACGGGTCTCAAGCCACAGGTTGAGAACCGCTGGTCTAGGGCCTTAATTAGAGGTGGTGTGGGCGTGGCTAATATGTTGAGCCTTAAGAAATGATACATTTCAGTGAGATTGGATCACAGGTCTTCTTATCATCTATTTCTTTCACAAGATGCCTTATGTTATCTACCAACTAAACTTATACAAACTTGTCTCTGTAATTCCTCTAGACTTTCGCTAATAAAACTGGAAAAGATTCTCTTATGCTTAATGAGAACCATGGAATTTCAGACTTTACAGTTAGCAGCTCTCTCATTCTATAGATAAACAAACTTAAGGCTGGAGAGGAAAATTAAGTCAATCATTAAAAAAAAATTAAAAAATATTGAGGTTCTACTATGAGGCAGGCACTGTGATTCAAGGTGAATAATATGAGCTCTGCCCTCCTGTAGAGTGTACACCAGTAGGAAACACTGACAAGTTGTCAGGTAATTGGATAACAGCTTGAAATGGCTTCTGTGGAAATTGTCAATCTTTATTTTGTGATATCCTTGTGAGCAGATGCTGAGCTTTATGACTGTTGCTTTGACACTTGTATCTAATGGGGTGTCCTTGGTTTCATTATCTAAGCACAGAGTTTTTGGACAAACTCTAGACAGGCCCAGCAGCTCAGACCCCCTTCTTTGAACAACAATATCCCCACAACCTGTAGAGCACTGGCACATCTTACAAGGACCCAATGGTCTCCATCACTGCATGGAAGATGTTGGCAACATTTCTATCCACCACTGCCACCTAATGACTGTTTTGGCTACTACAGCTTTGGTTCTACTTCCTTATTTTGAACTCTGGGTTTCTGGTCCCAGGGAGAGAGTTGTTGACTTGGTGACCCTAAGGTACTGTTCCATCTTGGGGGCCTGAGATTCTATAATTGCCTTTGACGTTAGAAGACAATATTTGTCTATGGAAGAACAAGAGACCTAAATGAATCCAAATGAATAAAACTTTGATGAGGTCTTCCACAGAACTAGAAAAAGAAAGCACACCCAGAAGACTAAAAAGCACAATGTAAATGTAAAGAGCTTGGCAAATGGGGAGCATGGCAGGCCAGCAGCTGTGCTGAAGCAGTGGCCATGTATGAACACTTGTTATTCTTTTAGGGGTGGCTCTTCTCTCTTCAGTCATGTACCACTTTTTTTTCTCAAATTCCAAGAACATGCTTTCACTTGATTCTCTTATAAGTTACTAGAGGCCCGGTGCACAAATTTTGTGCATGGGGGTGTGTGTCTCTCAGCCTGGCCTGCACCTTCTCCAATCTGGGACTCCTTGGGGTATGTCTGACTGCTGGTTTAGTCCAGCGATCGGGTCTATACTGGCAGTTGGCCATCCCCCTCACAATCGGAGACAGCTGGCTCCTAACCACTCACATGCCTGCCTGCTGATTGCCCCCTAACTGCTCCCCTGATGGCCTGATTGATGCCCAACTGCTACCCTGCCAGCCTGATGGCCCCCAACTGCCCTCCCATACTGGCCTAGTCGCTCCCAACCACCCTCCCCTGCAGGCCTGGTCAACCCCAACTGCCCTCCCCCACCAGCCTGGTCACACCCAACTGCCCTCCCCTGCAGGCCTGGTCAACCCCAACTGCCCTCCCCCACCAGCCTGGTCACACCCAACTGCCCTCCCCTGCAGGCCTGGGTGCCCCCAACTGCCCCCACCTGCTGGCCATCTGGTGATGACCATCTTGTGGTGGCCATCTTGTGACTGCCATCTTGTGGTGGCAATCTTTTGACAGCCATGTTGTGATGACATAGGGTGGCCATCTTGTGGCAGTCATCTTGTGACGATGTAGGGGCGGCAATCTATGACGATGTCGCGTGACGCCACTTAGGCTTGTATTATATAGGATAATTGATGTCCCTAATGGAAATTATTTCAGCTGTTATTTATTTCAGTATTGTAATATGACCAAACATTTTCTTAGTGTATAATTTGGTATTCTTCAACAGTGTGCCAAATTTGTGTATCAGTATTATGAATCAGACAAGGTGTATCAATGCCAAATGATGATGAGAAAGAGTGTTCACTTTACTCCCCCTCTCACATGCCTTCCCATGAAACCATCAGAACCCTGGATTTCCTGGTCTTTCTAGATTCACAGACGTACTTCAAGGGCTATTTAGTAATACTACAGGCTAAGTGCTAAAACCTGTGGCCTCTTTAAGGGTATAAAAATATTTGACATGAAAATAATTTTATTGACTTAGAAAAGTACAAAATAAAGATTACTCATTAATTTAATGTCTATGAAAAATGTTCCATTTGTTTTCTTTTAATATAGTATTTGTATGATTACATCACACTTAAGAATAAATTGTAGATCCAATTTTTTCTCCCATCAGTTTCAAATTTATGTGAAAAGTCACTTTTATTATTGGATGTGGAAATACTCACATATATTTGATATAATGTGGGGGAAGATATGGCAGATCTTAAAGGCTCTAAATCTACTTTAAATTTTTCTCCAAAGAACTAAAGATATTGTCAGAAAGTACCTGCTTCAAACACCAAATAGTTTTCAGTTCTTAAATCTTCACATTTCTTAATACATAAAGTTTTAAAAGTTCATAAGAAATTTGTTTTCTATTTTGTTATAATCTATACTTGTTTTATTCTATTTTAATAGCTATCATTGAGATAAAATCATACTCCAGGAAGAAGGATTATATGTACTTTATGGGTTGATTTGTGTGTCTGTGATACACTGCCCCCGGGAAGTGTGAGTGGTACAGTTCACAGGGAAAAGTCTTGAGAGATGATGGTAGCAATTCTCTTCTCTTTCTTATTCTGTTTTTTAAAAAATAATTTACTTATAAATTTTTTATTCCTGAATCCAGGATATTTTTCCATTGATTTTTAGAGAGAGTGGAAGAGAGAGGGAAAGACAGAGAGAAATATTGATGTGAGAGAAACACATTCATTGATTGGCTGCAGTAGGAGCCCCAACCATGGCCCTGGCCAGGGAGGAGCCTGCAACCTAGGCACATGCCCTTGACTTGAATCAAACAGTTCTTTGATTCACAGGCTGATACTCTATTCACTGAGCCAAACTGGCTAGGGCTTATTCTTCTTTTCAGGAAGATGTTAAGAAATCATTACAGCCCATTATAAAGACTTTGGCTTGAGGAAAAGTTCTGAAGAGGTTTTGTTTGTTGTTGTTGTTGTTGTTTTGTTATCACATAGTAACATCATATGCCTGTTGTATAACAGTCTATGTACATTTATAGGGAAACTAGAAAATATTCTCTGAGAATAATCCACATTGTTCCTAAGGATAAGCTTGAATTCCTCTTCCTCCAGTCTTCTGTAAAAGTTAACCCCAGATCCACTTCCAGGAATTGCATTGATTCTACCATGCTCCTCTCTGTTTTTTATAAATAGTACATAATAATTCCACCTTTAGCCACAAACCAACTAATTCTTAGGGAATTAGGCCTGTCTCCATTCACCTCAGGGCAAAAGTGCTCCCAACTACCCTACTTATATAGAACTGGTTTATTTGCGTGAATACCTGGAATCCTGAC